GTTGCTATGCGTCAAAAGAACCTTGTTAATCTAACTATAAACATTATAAACATGGATGATTATTGACCTGTAATTCTTAAAACCTATATAGCTTAAAGAATAAGGTTTCACAATAAAATATTAAACAATCTTTAAACAAATGTGCAGCAAAAGAGGACAATGACCTCAAAATATAAACAATGTATAAGTATCTTGATCAGAGGTAGAAACATATAGTGTAATATGATAAATATATCCTAAAGTTGTATTAATATACAAAATATCCTAAGCAGAGATAGAAACATGCTTGCATATAATATGAGAAAATAACTTTGAATAAGTGCACACAAATATTGTACACAGAAATAGGAGCATATTCACTATAACAAATACAACTTGAATTTTGTATCAATATACAAGAGTCTGTACCAATGTAAACTGTCTATAAATAATAGCTCACAAGTATTCTCACTATTAATCACTATTATTATTAGTGTGAAGAAGCTCACACTAGCCTACATATTATTCCATCCTGTCCCCTTTCTTTTCAAAAAAGATTCCTGTGTCTGCTTAACTTCCACCCCAACCCTATACAATTTATAACCAATGCCTAATATATGTCTTTAACTCTGAGGACAAACTTTGTTGGGAGAGAGGGCATCATCTTCTAGAATTACTTCAAGTTGTCATGGGGGCAATGTTATTTCTATAGGATGCTGTAAAAACTAAAAATGATGGTTAAGTTCCAAGATTCATGTCTTGTATAATTCCAAATAGTCTCTGAGTAATTGGTAGGGTTTTCCTGAAGTTCTTATTTGAAGTTCTGGCCAGAATGTTGTAAGAATGTGAACCATCTCAGCTAACCAAGTTGGAATTATCTAGAGCAGTTTGTAACACGAAACTGATCTTAAAGTGATGCTATCAGCATCATGATGTCATATCAACCAGGTGGAATTGTGGCAGGACCTCATCTTCTTCCTGGAAACTTCAAAGATTATTGCAGAAAAATGTATTGTTCATTGGGGAAAACTTAAATGTTCATATATTAATATTCGTATAGACATATATTCAATGAAAGGTACCGTAGAGACAAAAATAGTTATGGGGAGAAATAAAATTATTTGAAAGCAGAGTTTTGATTAATAGTTGTTCCTAAATTTTATCTTGCTTCTGTCCCATATCAAGTGGCTCCTGATATGAGACAGAAACTCTAAATTTTTCTTTTAACAACATGCTTGGATTTAGAGAAGGACAGAGCCATTGTCCAGCTCCAAAGCCAGCTTTGATTTTGAGGTGAGCCATAATTATCATCATACTGAGATGTAGAGAGAGATGTAGGTTTAGGTAGTTAAATTTTACCTTGCAGAGAATATTCTCTTTGCTTGGTGATTCTTTCTGGATAGTTATCTTTTTTTCTTTAAGCTTTTAGACATCTGAGGTCTCTCAACTTTTTGAAGATGCAGTATATCTATCTCATCATAGCTCATCATCATAGTTCCTCTAACATCAAGACATTGCTGCTTATGTTAACAACCAGGTCTTAAGTCATGTATCTCTATATACTTCTCTCTGAGCCAGCTTAACCAAGCCCTTTTAAACGTCATCTGGTTATTGGTCTGTGTTGACTACACTCTAACATAAACAAAAAGGAGCTTCTAGAGAGGAACACAGTGTTTACATAGCCACGAGACAGTGTCTCTACTGCCTTTACCTATGGAATATTACAAAACCCATATCTAATTCTTTTTTCCCACTCATATAATTATCTAATCCAAAGACAACCTGAGAGTACATTATTGATAATATCTCAAGCTCACAGGCAAGGAAGGCATGAAAAATCAAACTTGATTCTATCTTATCAAGCAAAGTGAGATTTGGGATCAGCCTGTCTAGGGCTATCTACCCTGAACTGGCAAAACATCACTGGAAATTCAGGAATCTTGAAATGTAAAAATAACTATTACTGTTCTCTTGTGCAATGACTAAAATGCCCAAGTATGGAAATATTTATTTTTAAGCAACAACTTGTGCTATTGAGGTCTTAACCCATGCTGAGGACGCACCCGTGACCTGTGCTAAGGCCAGCATCTAGGTAATCCAGGATCCTGTCATAGTAGACTCCAGGGCTTTCTCATCACCTCTCTTCTGCTGAGGCAGTAAAAGATTTTGCTGGCTAGGCTCTGAACAAGTGTTGTTGGCACATGTCCCCTGTGTGGCTGACATTTGTCTGGAGTGCCTTCAGTAGTTTAGGCCCTCAATGATACCTTTGCAGATGCTGCAAAAACTGTGTCTTTCACTGAGGTCAGCACCCCACACTTTTGCTGAGTTCCTTGCACAATCTGCTAAATAACTGCTCCATCTTGCGTCATCTGTAAAAACACAGTCATTCAATGTCAGATGGAGTCACCATAAACTGCAATGATTCACCAAGAGAAAAACATCTTGTGACTAATGCATAGGACCTTTAGCAATATGCCCAAGTCAGTTGTCAGAAAAAACCCAACTACACAATTTATATATTTCTTAACTGGTGACCCATGTGTCAAGCCCTTCTGTATGAAGCACACTCTTCAACTGTGCTCTTTTTCTCTCTTATATAGCCCTGTGTACTATTTTCTTCTACATTTAATTCTCCACTTAAATTACTATTGATACTTGTCAGTACAGAGCCAAAAGATGAACAGAGTAAATGCTCTCTGGAGGCAGCCCAGCTCCTAAAGAGGAGCAGAGAATGGGTTAGGCTGGGAATTGCTTACTCCACTTTTCCTTCCAAACTTCTAGGATGCAGAACACAGAGCATTTTACTCACAGGGCTCCCTACTCAGGCAGGAAATCAGAAATGAATGAACACCTTTTCTTTTCTATATTTGTTCTTATCTGCCAGAAAAACATTTTGATAGGATGGATAGTTCAGCTTGAATAACATTGGAATTGTAAAAGAATTTAAAGGATAATTAGGAGTAATTCACTGATTAGGTAAATATTTTAATAAGTATATCATTCTACTGACTATGTGGATATACAAATTGTAATTTATTTTTATAAAATATTTCCCAGTTGAAACATTCCCCATGAATGAACAGTTAATGAATTGGAAACATTTGACTTACTTTAAACAGAGAAATTCACAAATTTTAAGTGGGTGACTTTTCCCAGGATATCTTAATGCACTCCTAAAAGCTGAAGGGTCTAGGTGAATGACCCAAGTTCTGTATCAAATCATAATGTGGCCAAGAACTAAATAACCTGAACTGTAGACAGTAAAGGGGCCTTTGGAATACTCTTTGTTATGCAGGTGACTGTCTCTTCCAATACTGTTATTTTGCTCAAGGCCAAAACCTGGCCTCTGTGATTTTATACATTTATACATATACTGAACCCCTCCATGTGTTGAACTAATAATCTGCACACCTTCAACACAGCACGGTTCTCTGTTCTAACCCACTGTTGCCCCCACTAACCAAAAGGGAGGTGTTCATTAGCTGATTCACAATGTGCACTCATCATCTCAAAGAGCTTCATGTACTGTAGCTGGTTTACAATGTGCACTCATCATCTCAAAGAACTTCATGTACTGTAGCTGGTTTACAATGTGCACTCATCATCTCAAAGAGCTTCATGTACTGTCAACTACCAAGGCATTCACATCTCATTGGTCAAGGCACCGTACATCAAAAGAGCGAATTAACATCTATATTTAATAAAACATTTTTAAAAGACATCTTTCACATTTGCCTCAGACCATTCCCTGAACACAGCCACCTGAATCTTTTTTCAGATAGAATGATACTTATTGTTTTGCAGTGTGCTTTTCTGTCTCTGAGGTGATGGACAATTCATGTTATATAAGTGATTCCTCCTACATTTGTATTGAGCTGGCCTATATTTTTATTTGTATATAGTCTCTAGAATTAACAGAAATGCATTGTTATAGCTTAGCTCTGAAATGTCCCTCATGGGTCCTGTGTTTGAACTCTTGGTTCCCAACTTCTGACATTGTTTGGGAAGGATATGGCTGGGGGAATTGTTCACAGTGATAGGCCTTTGAGAGCTGCATACAACCTTGTTTATTGCTGTAGCACTCTGCTTCCTGATCTGTTGAAGGAAGAGAGGGCCTGCTTTTGGTTACAAGGAGCGGTACCCTTTTTTTGACCCGGCCACCTGGCTAGTTTACACCTGAAATAATCACACAGAAACTGTATTCATTAAATTACTGCCTGGCGCATCATCTCTAGCCTCTTATTGGCTAACTCTCACATCTTGATTTAACCCATTTCTACCAAACTTTGTAATACCACGAGGTTGTGATTTACCGGGAAAGATTCTAACCAGCATCAGTCTCAGGCCAGAGCTTCATGGCGTCTGCCTTTCTGTCCTTCTTCTTAGCATTCAGTTCTGTCTACTCCACCTACCTAATTTCTGCCCTAGCAAAAGGCAAAGGCAGTTTCTTTATTCAACCAATGAAATCAGGACATAGACAGAAGAATCTCTTAAAACACTGATCTAGAAAGATGAGAAAAAGTGAGTCATCAAGCTACTGCCATCCCAACCACCATGCTGTATCCTCTGATCTGTGAGCCGAGGCAATTCTATTTTGCTTACGTTGAGTCTATCCAGTACTGGATTATAGCGGTAAGATAAGTAACTTGATAATGTGTAAACTTAGGATAACTGTGCTGCAAACTGAAGTATCATTGCAAGTCACCAAGATGGCTCAGTGGCTACAGGGGTTTGTCACACCTGACCATCCTAGAGTTCAATCTCTGGGGTCCACAGAAGAAAAGCACAGAACTGATTCTGATTTCTGCAAGTCATCGTCTGACCTCAACACATATGTTGTCGTAAGTGTGCTCATACATACACACAAACACGCACATCTATACATACACACACACACACACACACACACACACACACACACGCATACATTCACATGCCAAATGCAATTGAAAATGTCACTTACTTACTGACTTCTAAGGTGTAAATGAAGACTATATGATGTTTTTCTTTCTTTGAATTAGGAGCTGAAGCTAATTTCATGCTAAAAATTCGTCCTCTGAAGAAATATCCAGTGGATCTTTATTATCTGGTTGATGTGTCAGCATCAATGCACAATAATATAGAAAAATTGAATTCCGTTGGAAATGATTTATCTAGAAAGATGGCTTTTTTCTCCCGTGACTTCCGTCTTGGTTTTGGCTCCTATGTGGATAAAACTGTCTCACCTTACATTAGCATCCACCCAGAGAGGATCCACAATCAGTGCAGGTAGCTGATGTTTCCTGTGGAGAATACTAAAAGAATCTTTTGTATAAAAATCTCATGCTGATTATTCTTATAGACTTAACCATGTTTCAAAATATTGTCTTATTAAATAAAAGTTCAAAGTATTAGAGGAGGATCCTGTTCCTTTATGGAAATGTTTGCTTGTAGCTTTGGTTTTTAGTTATAGTCCTTCAAATATTGTTTATTCACTTTTTATCAAACAACAACAACAAACAAAACCCTTTCCTATTATTAGTAACCCTGGATGAATTTCCAACAATGAGGCTGACGTGCATATAAATACCTCTGGAAACTCAATATGCCTCTTTTGTAATTGCTCCAAATTTATTGAATTTGGATTTGACACATTTTAGAGTATTATTACTGCATAGCTACACTGACACCTTACTGTATTGAGATGGTATATATTTACGTTGTTAATGATATAACCAACTGCCTCAAAGACCAGGGATAACAAATAAGAATTTATTTCTAAACAGCACTTGCCTCCTTAAGGAAAGAAAACTGACTTTAAGCATGCAAGTTTTTATTTAGTGTCACCTGATAAGTTTTCAGAGAAATAATTTTGTAAATCTCTTGTTCCATAAATCATTTTCTTTCAAGATATTCTCTGCTTCTATAAACTGTTCCAATCATTTCACTCTACATGTTCCAACAAAAGCAGTTACTATTAATCACACAATGTAGGATTGGTTTATCTTTTACAAGACTTTGAAAAATCTTCGAATTGCTATTTATCATCCATTGCGGTTTTCTGAGTTCAGGAGTTACTTTGTTTCTCAGACTGACCCTGAAATCATGAATCCTACTGCCTCTGCCTCCTGAGTACTTGGGTTACATTATGCCCAGTTTAAACAATCTTGAAGGAGAGCTTGCCTGAGAACTGGGACTCTTTCTGAGATACAGGAGGGATTATCAAAGTCATTCTCATACACTTTACTGCTCACTAATAATTACACAACAAGTATCATTTTCAAAAATTAGTGTGGTATCTTTTTAGAAATAAAAAAATTAAAATGTTATTTCAGCTGAATTCACAAACTATCTTCCTGGATGTGTTTCTCATCTGCTCCAGGGCCAATTGTGACAGGAAATTACTACAAATCCTTAAGTTCCTTTCAAAAATTCAGGGTTTACTAGAATACTGAAGTGCTTCATTGTCCTTTAATTATGAAACACATGAATCTTCTTTATTTTTGAACATCAAATTTACAATTCTATTTTCTGTTCCCAAACATGTTTCACCAATATTGAACTCCTTAACCTTAAAAATTTTTTTATGTTGTAATAATTTCTCTGCACCTCCAAGAAAATCTCTTCCTTTTATATAGCAACATAATCAGACTGTGAGTAGCACTTTGAAAAATTTAAGGAAGCACAGAAAATTAGATTTTGCACTTTTTTACCCACACAGTGACTACAATTTAGATTGTATGCCTCCCCATGGATACATCCATGTGCTGTCCCTGACAGAAAACATCACTGAATTTGAAAAAGCAGTCCACAGACAAAAGATCTCTGGAAACATAGATACTCCAGAAGGAGGTTTCGATGCCATGCTTCAAGCTGCTGTCTGTGAGGTAAGAAGTTTTGCATGCTGAAATGTAGCAGAAGCTGTAAGAGTTTTATGTTCCGGTTGGTTCATGAAGTAGAAACAGCGTGGACAAATACATTTTTTTTAATTGAAAAAAAAATTTCCGCCTCCTCCCAGCCTCCCATTTCCCTCCCCCTCCTCCCACTCCTCTCCCCCTCTCCCGCACTCCTTTCCTCCTCCCTCTCCAGTCCGAAGAGCAGTCAGGGTTCCCTGCCCTGTAGAAAGTCCAAGGTCCTCCCCGCTCCATCCAGGTCTAGGAAGGTGAACATCCAAACTGGCTAGGCTCCCACAAAGCCAGAACATGAAGTAGGATCAAAACCCAGTGCCATTGTCCTTGGCTTCTCATCAGCCCTCATTGTTCGCCATGTTCAGAGAGTCCGGTTTTATCCCATGCTTTTTCAGTCCCAGTCCAGCTAATCTCATTTCCCATCACTATTAGGATTCATTTTGGTATATGCTTGGGTAGAGGGGGCCAAGCAGGAGATGTTCTTTGCTTCTATAAACCTCAAGAAAAAGCCAGAAAGAGCCTGTTATCCCATTCCCATCATGTTATGTGGTTTATTCTTCCTCTAGTGAGGGAGTAAAAGGTAAACAAATACATGGGCATGCTATTTTAAAGCCTTACTAATGTTTGTCAACTGGCAAGAGCACAGTGAGATCCATGTCACTGTACAAGGTCTAATTACATGTTTATTTTAAGAGTCATATTGGATGGCGAAAAGAAGCTAAAAGATTGCTGCTAGTGATGACAGACCAGACATCACATCTTGCTCTTGATAGCAAATTGGCAGGCATAGTGGTGCCAAATGACGGAAACTGCCATCTGAAAAACAATGTCTACGTCAAATCGACAACCATGGTAATGTAGCAACAGCTTCTTCCTAGCTATGTTGACTCCTTGGGCTAAAATCCAAGTTTAAATTTCCAATTCAGACATTCTAGTTCCAGGAAGTTACCTGATATAGATATAGATATAGAACCAAGACGGACCAGGATATAGAACCAAAACAGACCAAGATATAGAACCAAGATGGACCAGGAATCAAGACCTATGGAGCAGTAAAGTACAATTACTGCTCAAGAAAGTTGATGACTAAAAGATATTTCCATTGTCTAGTTGCTCAGGAATGGTAGAATTTTGAAATAAGGTGATACAAGAGGTTATTTTCATGTGATTCAAAGACTTGAAAAGAAAGAAAAACATGGCTTTGTTTTGTAAAAATAAGCTAGATCTTTGATGTTAGTATCTATAAATAGAATAAGAAGTGTTAAAAACGGAATTGGTCTAAGGAATCTTCAGAATACAATACTAAATAAGCTAAACAAAGGTCACAGGGAAAGCGTAAACAAGGCAGGCTTGGTGTACTCACCCCCCTCATCCTCCCTCCGCAGTGCATCTTTGTGTAGGACTGCTCCTTAGGCGAAGCCTGTCGGAATTGCTTCCTAGAGGTTACCGTCATATTTGAATCATGTATTTAAATACACACTGTCATTACCACATCTTCCGAGGCATTAGCTAATTGTAGATATTTTAAAAAATGAACAACAAAGTATCATTTGTGTCTGATGTTGACAGCTATTTACTTTCAAATATTTTGAACAAAACTGGCAAATTTCTCATTGCCTAATACCACATAAATTAGACATGGTACTTGAAAGTCCAGCATTCATGAGGTGGGGACAAGAGGATCAGAAATTCAATATTATCCTCACCAATACAGCAAGTTCAAGACCAACCTGGGCACATCAGACTCTGTTTCAAATAATATAATAAAATGAAATAATAAACTATAATAAATAAATTCAATCTTCAGCACATTTGAAATTCAGGCTTTGGGTGTCTTTCTCTTTGCTAATCCTATCCCATGCAGCTCTATTCACTTCTAGTTACTCATTTCTTATCTAGCTTTCTTTCTACTTGGCCTCATTTAATCTAGGGTAGAGGTCTCATGTGCTCTTGGAAATGGAAGAGGAGACAGAAGGAGCTACTCTATTTTGAGACAGAGGGAAGTTTTTTAAAGGAGAAATGTGGATGGTATGATTCCCAAGTCCTGTTATTCTTTTGAAGTCTTGCCAAGTAACTGACATCATCTCTTCATTAGTAAATTTGAAAGGATGCTGAGGATGACTCTTTGAGCAAAATAAAATGCTGTCACGATATTAGACCTAGGTTATATTTTTAAAAACTTGTAGGGATAAGTTATAATTTCAGCTATAATTTTTGTAGGATTTTAAGCCCCAATTAAGTTGTTGTGATATGGGGAAACAGGCAATGCATCATGCCCTTCTTTTGTGTTCCTGGCCATTATTCAAGTTGTGTAGAGGAATGACCTTTATACATGTCATTCCTGTGACTTAGTGGGTATATCAAAGAGAAGTGCATTTGATAACAATTCATTGACTGAAAACCTTTGCAAACACTTTGCACACAGCATGGAATTTGTCATTATAACAAGTCTGGACAATAGTAACCATTATTGTCTTTTTACTAGCAAAAATGCCCCAGTTAGAAAAGCTAAATTAAATCTGAATGGGTTAAGTCTTCATGGCTGGAAGCTACTAAAGTAAAGGACTGTGGATCTGGCACCCACTACATTTCAATCAATGTATCTCAACCAAAAAGCAAAGAAATAGGGAAATAGTTTTCTTGGTGTTTACACTGTGGTCTTCACCTACAGAATAAACCTAGATACCTTCGTTTAATCTGAATTATAAAAGAAGATTTAGGTAATTTCTCTCTAGGCTGTTGGCACTGATGGTACACTCTTAAGTAAATGTACTTTCTAATGTTTTTTTTCCCTTTACACTAAGTGCCATAATAAAACCTGAGTAGTAACCTAATGTTTCCATCTGTCCAACAATAATGTCAACTTAAGTATGCCATTCTCTCCAAAAGGACAGAGGTTCATACATTGTTGATAATGGAAAAGATAATTAATACTTAAGGCATAGAAGTCCATTCTGTTTCCCCACCCAGCTTTTCCAAATTACTGGACTTCATTCAGAGCCTTCCCAATCATCCCACCCTTTGCAAGGGCCAAGCATTATACAAAGATCTTCCAGCAAAATGAGAGGAGACCAAGGAGCACATATGTGGAGACACTGAGTGAACCTGGCCAATGCCCAGTTCAGATGCTGGTGTAACTTTCAGCCCTGAACACACAAATGCAAATAAATTCACTAGTGTCTCCTGTGCACACTTGGGGTTCCACGCTCTGCACAGTTTTCATGTGCCCTGTCACTAGCCAGTGATTCTTCACTTCCACATGCCTCCTCGGAACTTTTTCCCACTGGTTCCAGCAGCCATTCCTCTTGTTGAACGCACAGCGGGAGAGTAGCTGCTGACTGGGTCAGAATATAAGATGGCTGATGTAGAACTGCTGACAGCCATTCACGTTTACTGCAGACTTACGCTTCTCTTCCTGGAAGTATAGTCAACTCTCTGTTCTTCCTCTCACTCAACTTTGCTTAACATGTATTGCACTTTTAGTCTGCTATCTGTGAAGCTTTCTGCTGTTCAGGAAGTACATTTAAGGTTGTTTTATAATTGCCATTGATGAAAGCAAGGGTAAGAACATACTTGATTATTTTAATTCCATAGCTTAGCTACATGAGTTACCAGGATTTTATGAATTACTGATGTGGAAGGTGATGTATGCTGTGAATATGTTATACTGCTTTTGGTTAATTAAAAAGCTGCTTCTGTCAGTGGCTTAACAGAATATAGCCAGGCTTGAAGAGACAGACTCACCAGAACCTTGCCAGTAAGTCACAGTCACATGGTGATACACAGATTAATAGAAGTGGGTTAATTTAAGATGTAAGAGCTTGCTAGAATTATGCTAAAGTCATTGGCCAAGCAGTGTTGTAATTAATACAGTTTCTGTGTGACTGTTTCGTGTCAAGACAGCCAGGAATGAACAAACAGCCTTCAACAACAAATTACTACATTTACTTCAGTGCTCTTTTTTATTGAAATAGATTTTCTCTAGCAGTTTCAAAGTTGACAAAGATGTTTATTGACATCAGACAATTCCATTTAAGCACTGACTTGTAATCTTTCAGTAAAGACATTTGTTAATTATTTTTTCTGCTCTGGATTAAGAAATGGGCTCTTCAATGTCAGAAGGCGTTAAGCATCCTTTCACTGATCATTCTGTGCCCTGGATGCACTCATAAAAATACTTATTCTTTAGCACTCTTAAATACTTCTCGAAGGCTGGGAGCCTGTGTGTAGTTTTAACAAATATTGTTGAGTCTTGGTTTTTTTTTTAATTAACAAAACACTTGGTAGCAGTTGACTATATTATTTGCTTGAAACTGCAAGCATGCTGAGAATACATAGGCAGTTATTTGATGAAAGCTATTTAGAATGTTCTACATGTTCTGAGAAAAGTATTCAGGAAATAATCTCTGCAAATAATACCTAACGGAACTTACTCTTAATTGAAAGCAAATGCCACATGCAGAAATCACCTACCCCTGGTGCTCTTTCTGTAGAACCTCTGGAAAGGAATTCAACTAATGTATAAAAACTCAGCTCAAGAACATTTCAATTTCATTTACAATTTTATGAAACAAACTATATTGTTTAAATTAAATATTGTGTTAAAACATTTAAGCATGAACACGTCTGCTTCCATTCTCTTTGGAAAGCGTACAAAGATTGTGAGTGCTTGCCCTTCTTCACCAAGTAGAGCTTAGTGACTACAGTCTACACCATCTAGGGCAGAGGAGACAGATTCAAGCACCCCAGGAGCCAGAGAAACAGGGTTAGTGAGTGAGGCAGACCCACCAAAGCACAGGGAGAGCATGCCCACAGATGGCTGATAGCAGTCTTTTATTTAAAATGTCTTTTACTAAGTAGTCCTTTTGTACATGACCCTTTACTTTTTGGGAGCACAATCTCAAAGCCTAGAACTAGGACTAATGCTTTTCTTCACTTGGGTAAATAAGGTCACAGTCAGAAGCTGAACATAATCCCACTCTACTCCAAGGAAGATCCTGCAGTAGATGTCAGTCAGTGAGGCATCAAGACCTAGGCGACTTCTCACATTGGCATGGGCTTAGTAATTACAGGATCCTGAAGAAAACCTTCTTTTTCAGTAGTCCATTTATATAAAAGGGTATGAATGTAATTCTCAGAAATATTAACTAGTGCTTCTATATGCCTTAATCACATAGAAACAGGACCCCAGATAGCATAAAATTGTGTCCTGGTCACCTAGTGTGCTAATCACCATCCCCTCTCTATGACATCTATCTGAGATGATCAGCTTGTGAAAAGGTAGGATTTGATTTGAATCACAGTTTGGAAAGTTGTTTTGAAGCTCTGTTCCCATTGCATTGCGACTGTGGAGGTAAAGCTGCTTACCTTGTGGCCAGGGAGCAAAAGAGGGAAAGAGGCAAGGGGCAAGAGTCTCCTCCCAGGGCATGCCCCAGTGGCATGAATACTTCGAATAACCCCCACCAGTCAATTGTTCCACTGTCACCTCCTAGATTCACAATGTGTGGACCAGGCTTCCACCGTGTGGGCTGCTGAGGTCCATTAAAGGTCCACACTGAGTACAGAGTTGGGAGTGTAGCCCCAGTACAATTGCTCTGTCTAGACCATCAGTCCTGGATTCTTTTTGGGATATTTCACTTTTAAGAGAACATTTCCATGCCAAAGACATTTTAGCTATCATGGCAGGGGAAAGGAGTGTCACCTTTTAGAGGGTAGTCAGACACTATGCTCACATCTTCTATTGCATAGGACACTCTGTACAGACTATATTGCACATATAACAATCTAAAAACAATCTTATATCCAGCTCCAAATGTTGGCAGCCCCACTGCTGCCCAACCTGCCCTTGGCCATTACTAGGATCTACCAAGTTCTTCAAAGCCAGGGTGTTGAGACAGAAGCAGACAAACATATCTTTCAAGTGTTTATCCAATTACGTTTTCACTTTCACCCTGTTTCTGCTTCATTCCTCTCAAACATAAACTCACTAAAAAAATAAAGTTTTCAATATCTTATTAAAGTTCTAAATACTACAAACTCTAACTTATCATAACCTCTTAATTTTACTTAGAAGAAGAGACTCGTTAGCAGTTTCTTTGTCCCCCTAGATGTGCATATTTTTATAATTCAACTGTACTTCCTAAATAGTAATCTTTGACTGAAAGTGTTCCCATCAACCTCTCTTCTCTCCTGACCTTTATAAATCACTTCCCACAAACTGAATCACTTAGTGGTGCTCCTGGCATGTTCCTTCCCTTCTCCCTTTTGCCTCTGAACTACATCTTATCTCCATTAATTATTTTCAGAGTTTAGAGAAGCAATATAATAATGGGTTAGTTGAAGGGAGGAGGGATATGTGCTAGAGCTGAGGAGTCATGACATCACCAAGACAGGGCATCTGGCTAGAGAGGGAGTGCATTCTCCTGCTAGCAGGAAAATGAACATAGAAAATAAAATGCTCTCTCTTCATGGAAGAGAGGTGAGAAAGCTTCAGAAATGGCCATTAGTCCACAGCCACTTGTCAACAGTGCTTTATTTAAACATGTGTTAGAAATTTATAATCTAAAAAAAAATCTGCCTCAAGGTACTTGGGATTTTTCTTTTAAAACGGATTTCTCTCTAGAGGCAAAAAAAATGTTCTTTTAAACATAGGAGTCCGATGAAAGTTCTCAGTGATCGTCTGACCAGCTAGAGTGAATGTTCTAGACTTGAATTTTGTTTAATTTTGGCTAACATGACTTCCTCTTTGTAGACGAGAAAAATTTCAAAGGCTTTTAAAGTGGCTCATATTTTCGACTGTTCTTTAAATATTGACTTTGTGTGGATTAAGTATAAGCTGGTTAAAAACATATGGGCTATTTTTCTCTCATTTTAAATGAAATGTTTTAAAAGTAAGAAGAGTGAGTGCTTGGCAAGCTGTTACTATTTTTGTGAAAGAAAAAATATTTTAAAAGTAACTGTTGCTATTAAAATAATATTCCCAATATATCTGGGTTTTCTTTACTTCTTACTTACTCCCTGTAACTTAACTGGTATTACACAAACTGCCACAAATATATTTTAAGGTCATGTATTTTATTTAAGGAACAAGAATTGGGATTTGGCTTGAAGAATTTATACTTAAGGAATAGTCTTTTATTACTTCAAAATTACATTTCTAAAAATTGCTCTGGGCAGAATGTTTTACATGCAAACTCATGTATTAATACTTTTCAGGTGTTTTCATGAATTGGGCTCATATCACACTTAATGCAAATAATAAATACAAACCAGACAAAGTTTTGCTGTGCTGTCTCCTGCAGGTTGAGCCCAGGCCCTCATATGCATATGCTCTAACCCTGAGCACACCTACTGCCTAGCAGAATTTTTAAGAACAAGGTTGTATCTGTCCAGATGCATAAATTTAAAATGCAGGCTGCAGAACATTGGCTGTAAATAAGACTAATTAACTCGGGTTTATTACTAGATTCACATAGTTTTCATATTATAGAGAAGTTAACGAAGTGAGATTAACACTGTTAGGTGAAACTTTGTATGGTGATTTGAAGGAAATGGCCTGCAAAAGGAATGGCACTGTTAGGAGGTGTTGCCTTGTTGTAGTAGGTGTTGTTTTGGTGGAAGAAGTGTGTCACTATGAAAATGGGCTTTGAGGTCTCACATATGCTCAAACTATGCCCATTGTGACAGTCCACTTCCTTTTGAGGTCTCACATATGCTCAAACTATGCCCAGTGTGACAGCCCACTTCCTTTAGCCTGCAAGTCAAGATGTAGGACACTCAGCTACTTCTCCAGCACCAGTGTCTGCCTGGATGCCTTGTCACACACCTTTGAAAATGTTAGTCACCCCAATTGAATGTTTTTCCTTTATTAGAGTTGCTGTAGTCAAGGTGTCTCTTCACAGAAATAAAAACCCTAATTAAGTCTGTTTAGTTCTGTGTGTAAATGAAATGTGGAAATGACCCTCCCTTGCCAGCTGGTTGCCCTCCCCTTCCCCTTGTTCTCAGCCACTCATGAAAGCAGGACCAGTAAGGGACCTTCAATTTAAAAAAAAAAAAAAAAAAAAAAAAAAACAATAAAAAGGCTAATTAACAAGAAAAAAAAAAGACACTTGGTAAACTATAGAACAACTTGATCTTGACCAACATGAAGCTAGGTAGGCTCAGTCACACAGCCCTTTTACTCCTACAATTAGGCACCAATGAATAGTCAGAAGCCACAACAAGTAGAGTCTGACATCATCCCTCTGAGGATGTTTAATTATGATTCTGTTGCTTGAAACCATCAATTTAACTCCTAGATGAACATTTATGGAAAGAAATAACCCCAGCACTGTGCCTTACTATGTAACAGTGAATAGCAGTTTTTGTAGCTGTCAACCAGGAGGATGAGGTGGGAGGGCACTGCTGAGAATTGAAGCCAGGATCTTTTGTGCTCTAGGCAAGAACCCAACCACTGCACTGCAGCACTGCATTCTCATCCTTGCACTAAACTGTATTTCCTTTTATAACTCATCCCTACCTTTCTGGTTTTTTTCTTTTTCTTTCTTTCTTTCTTTCTTTCTTTCTTTCTTTCTTTTCTTTCCTTCTTCCTTCCTTCCTTTCTTTCTTTCTTTTTTTTTTTTTTGGTTTTTCAAAACAGGGTTTCTCTGTAGCTTTGGAGCCTGTCCTAGAACTCTCTCTTGTAGACCAGGCTGGCCTCGAACTCACAGAGATCTGCCTGCCTCTGCCTCCCGAATGCTGGGATTAAAGGCGTGCGCCACCCCTGCCCAGCATTCCTAGCTTTCTAACAACCACCACACACAAAATGTTACATTTAGCTTTCCACATTCTATTTGCCAAGGTAAAATGGCTCCTAGTATATTGTACAACCAAAAAAAAAGCATAACAATAAATTCAAAAGTCATTAATATTCATTGTACATAAGAAGTAAAAGTAGAAATCCTACAGTGCTTTGAATTCCTATAGAATACATCTTCTAATATCACGCATATGTTAGCAGATAGAACTGAGAGCTTCTGTTATCCAAGTGAAAGCCACAGGGTTTTCAGCATCTAAAGAGTTTATATATTCTATGTCACAAGTCAAATCAAATGTTTGCATGCACACACATACATACACAAATGTGTGCATACACGTATATGTGCATACACAATGGATCTATATAAAGAAATATATATATTTTTATTGTTTTGCACTTCAAAACTTTGAGTTTCACCTCGGAATTCACTGTCACTTGCATGTCTCTACTTGTGAGTACTGTACTCTTTCAGCTACATCATTTTCATTTCAACATTAACTTAACAAGGTTCTGATTCTCAATTTATTCTGTGAATTTGACCATCTTTACTTTTTTGAAGTTGTAGATTTTGATGGAGCTTTGCTTGTAAGACACCCTGACTTCATGAATATTGGTTTTGCATTTACAAAGAGTTTAAATGTTCCTTGATTGACATAAGCAAGAACATATGCTGTTGTTATTCTAAGTCACTTGCTTTCTCTGTACTAAAAGTCTAGAGATATGAGAGGCTTTGTTGCTGAACTTCACTCCCTTGTTTCATTGTTCATTACAGGAACATCCGTCACTGGGCCAACTTTCTGAAAAGTTAATAGACAACAACATAAATGTCATTTTTGCAGTTCAAGGAAAGCAATTTCATTGGTACAAGGTATGTTCATGCCTATAACATCAAAGTTAAAATGTTTGGGTTGGTGGTTGTAGTGAGGCAGTTTTCAGAAGCAGGGATGGAGGTTCTGGAATTCCGATACACTCTGTAAATTTAATAATGTCTCAAAGTAAACTTTATAATATCTTATCTTAGCATTCAGGGGCAAATTACATCTAAGTCTGTGACACTCTAGGACCATGACATGTAGGCATTGAGAGCTGTATGTAAACTATAGTCAATACACAAGGACATGGCCAGACAACTAAGCTGGTACTGAGTTTAACGATAATGGCAAACCTCCATCACATGAGAAGTATTTCATTCTCCAACTCTGTCCCTTTCGTGGCTGAATTCCTGTTTGTACCATGGCTCATAGCCACATCTTTAAAATAGGCTAAGACTACTACAGGACACCAACTCTCTGCTTTTTATAATTTTTTTGGGGAGAACTTCATACATAATCACTGTATTTATATCATTTCTTTCCCTCTTCAACACCCTATATGCCCCTAACTCCTCCTCAAATTAATAGTATTTTATTATTGCTAAATATATTCATGTATGTGAATATATACTTATATATATTCTGTTTTAGCATTACTTTTATGTACAGGTGTTCAGGTCTGACGTGGGATTAGATAATTTACTAAAATCTGTCAGGGATTCATCCCTAGAAAAATGATTTTTCTTTCTGTAGCTTTTGATTGCCTTGTAACTTTTTATCTAAGGGTGGGGCCTTGTGAAAATGCTTCCATCCATGCTGTTATGTTGACTGGTATCATCATTATACAGATCTTGTTGAGGCAGTCAGACAGTTGAGATTTCATGGGTAAAGCTTCAAAGTCATACCTAGCATGATTGAAGCAGGCATCCAGGTCCCCATTCCTTGTAATCTCTTTGTCCCTTCTTCTATGACTTTCCAGAGGAGCCATGGGTGTAAGAATTGTATTTAGTTGTACTGATTTTTCAACAGCACCTAGCTTTGGTCTAGATGATGAAGCAAAGAACCAGCAGAAGCTATGGAAGTGGCTAAACTAGGCAATAGCTTGTACATAACAATTATCTCTGTGATTCCCAGAGCCCTTCGGTGTATGTGAGACTCACAAGCAAAGCAAACATTGTACAGCAATACTAATCTGAAGTGCCACGTACCTTCCCAAAGATAAATGGGATGTACCTGTAGCACTACTTTTCTTTCCCAGTCTTCTTAGGGTGGCTCTTCCAAGACATTCTGTTACTTGTTTCCATGAGACCATTATACCTCGCTCAGTTGTCCTCTCCTCACTCAGCCTTCATCTCCTTCACAAGTTTTGCTTTTTCCTTCTGTTCTCTATTCTAAACCTCTTGCAGTGTCCCATTTGCTTTGCCTTTATTTATTTACCTATTTATTTATTTATTTATTTATTTTTCAACCTTTGAGTGGCCACATTTTCTTTAAACTTTAAAAAACTTTTTAAAAAAATGCTGAAACTCATTTTCATCTTCCACAAAGCTTGTGTTTCCCTTCACTAGTTAACCTCATTCCTAATGACCATGCCACTGCCTGATAATGCAGCTTTATGTGTATTGCTAGTTCTCTTTGAAATTTATGATGAGACTTTAATACCTTGATTCCCCAAATGTATATGCACACCATGAAATCACCTTTTAACATCATAGCAAATCAAAATTCACAAGAGTTGGATTTGGCCCAAGCTGAATGGTGCAAACCACAAACAGCTTCTGTTTGCTGAGTCCCTATCAACTTTCAGATATGGAGCGTAGAGACAGCCATTCTTGCAGTTCTCTTAGCTACACCGAACAAGCACAGCATTGTGAACATGCTCATTTCAAGAAGAGCAAACATTTAGAGAGGTTAAAAACTTGCCTGCTTTTCTAACGAGTCAAATCCTGCGCTGTTAACCTTTAACAGCTGACCTTTAATTTCTATGCAGTCTTTTGTATTTTTTTTGTCTCATGTATCTCTACTGTTGATTGTTTCGTCATGTGTTATTGGTTACTGACACCAGGGTTTCCCTCTCTTTGTAAACATCCCATTGACTGATAAGATACAAAATCAAGTTTCTGATCAACTGAATTGTGCACAGTAAGAATTACTGTGCTCTCCAACCCCGATGAGCCCTGTGCAGAATTCCAAGTACCCCTACTGTTGGTATTCTGACAGGTGCCATTTTTAATTAATTCTTCTTTAAGGAAACACATAACAATCCTAGCTCCCACTCCTTACACCTTCCCCCGAACCACACCCCCATCCACTTCTCAGAGAGGGGTAAGGCTTCTCATGGGAAGTCAACAAAGTCTAACACATTGCTTTGAGGCAGAACCAAGGCTCTCCACACTTTATCTAGGCTGAGCAAGGTATCCCTCCAGGGACAATGGGTTCCAAAAAGTAGGTACAAGCAGTAGGAATAAATCCTGATATCACTGTCAGTGGCCCCACAGACTACACCAACCATACAACAGTCACCACATTCCAAGGGACTAGCTTGATCCTATGCTGCTTTCCCCATTGTTGGGCCTGAGTGGGTGAGCTTCCATTAACTCCAGTAAGCTGTTTCAATGGCAATTCCCATCATGGTCCTGACTCCTTTGCTCATATTATCACTCTTCTCTTTCTTCAAGTGGACTTGGGGAGCTTAGCCCTGTGTTCTGCTGTGGATCTCTGCATCTGCTTCCATCAGTTGCTGGATGAAGTTTCTATGATAACAATTAAGGTAGTCATCAATCTGTCTACAGGGCAAGGCAGTTCATGCACAGTCTCCATAATTGCATAGGGTTCATTCTTGTGGATTTCTGGGAATTTCTCTAGTGCTAGGTTTTTTGCTAGATGTTACATCGTAAATGAACGGCAGACAGAAATTATAATAAAATATTCAGCTTTAATAAGGGAAGGACTTACAAAGCCAAGGTTCCCACGGAGAACAGGAAAACAGAATGGGAGGCCGGGAGCACACCCGCAATATTTATAAGTAAATAATATCCTCAGGGGACCCTGCCCTACAAGCAAGGTGATTGGCTGGGCTTCCCCTACATCTAGCCCCATAATAGCTCCCTCAGTCAAGTTACCTTTTTCCTTGTTCTTCCTCTGTCCTTCCCCCATCTCAACCATCCTGTTTCATTAAGTTATCTCCCCTCCTCTTCTTCTCCCTTCCTCCTTTCCCTCTGCCCTCCTTTATCCCCCGACCCCCAGAATTCTAATTTTCTCAGGAGATCTTGTCTATTTCTCCTTCCCATGGGGGAATCGATGTATGTGTCTCTTAGGGTTGTCCTTGTTACCTAGCTTCTCTGGGGTTGTGGACTATAGGCTTGTTACCCTTTGCTTTACATATAATATTCACTTATGAGTGAGTACACACCATGTTCTCCTTTCTGGGTCTGGGTGACCTCACTCAGGATGTTTTTCTCTAGTTCCATCCATTTACATGTAAATGTCAAGATGTCGTTTTTTACCACTGAGTAGTCCTCTATTGTGTAAATGTTCTACATTTTCTTTATTCATTTTTTGGTTGAGGGGTTCTAGGTTGTTTCCAGGTTCTGGCTCTTACGAAGAATGCTGCTATGAACATAGCTGAGCAAATGTCTTTGTGGAATGATTGAGGATCATTTGGGTATATGCCCAAGAGTGGTATTGCTGGGTTTGAGGTAGGTTGATTCCCAATTTTCTGAGAAACCACCATAACTGATTTCCAAGTGGCTATACAAGATTACACTCCCACCAGCAATGGAGGAGTGTTCCCCTTAATCCACATCTTCTCTCTCCACCATAAGCTATCCTAGGTGGTTTTGATCTTAGCCATTGTGACTGGTATAGAATGGTATCCCAGAGTCATTTTGATTTGTATTTCCCTGATGGCTAAGGATGTTGTACATTTCCTTAAGTGTCTTTTTTGACAAGAATTTGAGATTCTTGTGCTGAGAATTCTCTGTTTATATCTGTACCCCATTTTCGATTGGATTATTTATATTTTGATGTCTAGTTTCTTGAGCTCATTACGTATTTTGGAGATCAGTCATCTGTCTGATGTGGGGTTAGTGAAGATCTTTTCCCATTCTGTAGGCTGCTGTTTTGTTTTGTTTACTGTGTCTTTTGCTTTATAGAAGCCTCTCAGTTTCAAGAGGTCCCATTTATTTATTATTGCTCTCAGTGTCTGTGCTACTGGGGTTCTCTTCAGGAAGTGGTCTCCTGTGCCTATGCACTGAAGGCTAATTCCCACTGTTTTTTCTATGAGGTTAAGTGTGGCTGGATTTATATTGAGGTCTTTGATCCATTTGGACTTGAGATTTGTGCATGCGGAGAGATATGGATCTATTTTCATTTTTCTATATGCTGACATCCAATTATGCCAGGATCAGTTTTTGAAGATACTTTCTTTTTTTCATTGTATAATTTTAGTTTCTTTGTCAAAAATCAGGTGTTCGTAGGTGTGTGGATTAATATCCGGGTCTTCTATTTGATTCCATTGGTCTGCCTGTCTGTTCTTATGTCAATACCAAGCAGTTTTCTGTAGCTCTATAAAGCTTGATTTCAGGGATGGAAATGCTTCCAGAAGTCCCTTTATTGTACAGGATTGTTTTGGCTATCCTGGATTTTCTGTTTTTCCATATGAAGTTGAATATTGTTATTTTGAGGTCTGTAAAGAATTGTGCTGGTATTTTGATGGGGATTGTATTGAATATGCAGATTGCATTTGGTAGGATTGCCATTTTATTATGTTGATACTACCTATCCAAGAGCATGGGAGATCTTTCCATTTTATGATCTTCTTCAGTTTCTTTCTTCAAAGACTTAAAGTTCTTGTCATATAGGTCTTTTGGTACGGGAAGTCCTTCTGTATATATTTTGCTTTTGTCGGTTAATGAATAAAGTTGCTTTCAGCTAATGGCTTAGCAGAGTAAAGCCATGCATTACAGAGATGTAGAGAAAGAGTAGGTGGAGTTGGGGAGACGCCATGTAGACACTGCTGAAGGAAACAGACACCTGGGAACTTTATCGGTAAACCTCAAGCCTCATAGTAAAATATAAAATAATGGAAACGGGTTAATTTAATGTATAAGAGCTAGCTAGCAATATGCTTAAGCTATTGGCCAAACCGTGTTTAAAATAATATAGTTTCTGTGCAATTATTTCATGTCTGGGCAGTCAGGAACAAATGAACAGGCCCCGACTACAGTCTCTCACTCCTTTGGCTAGTATTACCCCAAGATATTTTATGTTATTTGATGTTATTGTTAATGGTGATGGTTCTCTAATTACTTTCTCAATCAGTTTATCATATATATATATATGATATATGTATATAGGAGGGCTATTGATTGTTTTTTAGTTGAATTTTTATCCTGCCACATTACTGAAGGTGTTTATCTTCCCTGTAAAAAGTTCCCTGATAGAATTTTTGGGGTCACTTATGTATAACATAATATCATCTGCAAATAGTCAAAATTTGACTTTTCCTTTCTGATTTGTATCCCTTTGTTCTCCTTTTGTAGTCTTATTGCTGTAGCTAGAACTTTGAGTACTATGTGGAATAGATATGAAGAGAATGGACAGCCTTGTCTTGTTCCTGATTTTGGTGGAATCACTTTAAGCTTCTCTCCATTTATTTTGATGTTGAATGTCAGTTTGCTGTATCTTGCTTTTATTATGCTTAAATATGTTCCCTGTATCTATGATCTCTCCAAGACTTTTATCATAAAGGGGTATTGGATTTTGTCAAATGCTTTTTCAGCATCCAGTGAGATGATAATTTTTTTAAGTTTATTTATATGGTGAATTACATGGATAGATTTTCACATGTAGAACCATCCCTGCATCTCTAGGGTGAAGCTGTGGTTTCTTATTGTCTGCAACAATCTCTCCAGGAACTTCTGGATTTCAGGGTTTCTATTGAGAAGTTGGGTATAATTTTATTAAGTCTGCCTTTATGTATTACTTGGACTTTTTCCTTTGTAGCTCTTAATATTCTTTCTTTATTCTGCATATTTAGTGTTTTGATTATTATATGGCAAATGGACTTTTTTTTGTTCCATCTATTTGGTGTTCTGTAAGCTTCATTCATAGGCATATCCTTCTTTAGCTTGGGAATGTTTCTTCTATGATTTTGTTGAATATATTTTCTGTGCCTTTGAGCTGGAGTTCTTCTCCTTCCTCTATTCATATTATTATTAGGTTTGGTCTTTCCATGGTGTCCCAGATTTCCTGGATGTTTTGTGTTAATAATTTGTTGGATTTAACATATTCTTTGACAAACAAATCTATTTCTTCTATGGTATCTTCAATGCCTGAGATTGTCTTATTCATCTCTTGTATTCTATAGTTCCTATTTGTTTACCCAGATTTTCCATTTCCAGAATTCCCTCAGTTTGTGTTTTTTTTATTGCCTTTATTTCATTTTTCAAGTCTTGAACTGTTTGTTTCACCTGTTTGATTGCTTTTTTTTGCATTTCTTTAAGAGATTCAGTGACTTCTTCCAACTTTTTGTTTGTCTTTTCTTCCATTTCTTTAAGGGAATTTTTAATTTCCTTTTTAGTGTTCTCTATCATCTTCATAAAGTTATAATTAACTTCAATTTTTTCTGCTTTTAACTGTGTGTGCACATACTCTCATCAGGCTGTGCCCTTGCTGGGTGCGTGGTTCTTGCTCTCTTCCCATCCCATAGAACCCATTCTCCCTCCTTGCTTAGCTCTCACTTATCCTTTGGACAATACTTTAAAATCACTTTCTCGGGGAAATGGTCCATGACAATATTCCTCAGATTGAAATGCTGGCTGGTGTCTTTCCTCACAGTACCCGGGCACATCTCCATTGTGTCACGTGTATGGTGCCTTGTGAAATTGCTCCCTAAGGATTGAAACTGTCTCAGAACAGTTTATTATAGTGTTCAGTGAGAGTTCTTTGCTGGGACATTAAAATTACTAAGTGATATATTTCCCCATGACTTGAGATTACAAATCCATTCTGTCTAAGCCTGGCTGGCACACATAACTTGGTGATGCTTATAAGTAAAAAAAAAAAAAAAAAAAAAAAGAATAAGAAAAGTGAACTCTGATGCCTTCATAATCTGCTTTCCTCGTCATAACTCTGCATGGTAGACTGTGAAGCTGTTGCTCATTCTCATATCCTCTCAAGAGACACCCAGAGTTTTACTCATCAGCTCCATGAAGCTCGGCCCTTAACTATGACCTTCCATCTGGCCCAGGTTGTCCCAAAGTGTCATTTCACAGAAGAGTATTTATATTAAATATGTTCCTATGTCACATGGGAACAGAGTTTAGGAACTAAAAGAGAACTGGGAATACCAATTATAAATATTAAAGTATTTGCAAATTGCAGTTCTAGAGTAAATCATTTTCAGGTGTACATTTTGAATCTCTAAGTGGAGAAAGCAACCACAGAGCTTTATCAACTTATTTGCCCACAGAGCTCTGTTCATGTTAAAAATAGTTTAGGAAACGCTGAGCTAACTTTAATTGGGTTTGAGGTCATGTAATTCAGGACATATAGCAAATACTCACACACAAGACCACACACACTGATATTTCTAGGTTCTCTGAATTGGCAACCCTCTTAGCTTGCTTGTGGTTTTTGTCATTTTTTTTCATTCACAAAACGACTTGCCTTTCAGAGAGCTACAAAATGTTTAATGTCTTGATTGTTCACTGTTCCCATGCTACTATCATATCATGTACCTGTGACTCACATGTTTGACAGGACCTTCTGCCCCTTTTGCCTGGTGCCATTGCTGGAGAGATAGAATCCAAAGCTGCAAATCTCAACAATTTAGTAGTAGAAGCCTACAAGGTATGTACTGCCCATGCAGTTTTCTCCAAGTCAACTTTTACTACCATTTTTGTGACAAGGTACAAAGCAATAATGCTGCATCTTGCAAGGAGTGACAGAAAGAATATTAAACTGGGAATTTAGAGCCGGGGTTATCCCTAAATGGACCACAAACCAGCAGTGGTGTCTGATGCTTGGAAGAGTCAGTTCTTTTCTCTGTGCCTCACTTGTCCCAAGGACAGGTGAACCAAGATTGGTCCAGCCATTTAAGTTTCCTTCCAAATTGAAAGTTCACTGAGTCACCAGCTTGTCACAAAAATTTGGATAGTTTCCTACATCATAAATTTAGCAACAAAATAAAACAAAAACCATGCTGTTGTTTAAAGAACAATATTTAGGGGTAAATGGTAAGATACAGAGATCACTGAGAAGGCTCTGGAAGGGTCTCCATGATCAGTCATTGTAGGGTTCAGTCAATTATCATTTTCTTTGAAACAGGCAAGAGTTCCTTTCGCAGTTGTCCTTCTGGGTCATTAGCTGTGTGTTGTCATTAGTCCTGGGAAGAAGAGATGCATGAAGTTTTAAGGAAACATCTGGTCTCTCCAACTGGATAATTTCTCATTAGAAAGCTCTATAAAACTGCTACCACTAACTTTTCTTTTCATGTCCATCACATTCTATACATGACTTCACTTAATCCACACACCTGACCTATCAGGCAACAATCTGTAGTCCCATTGTATATTTGTAGGAACAAAGAAGTAAGCAAATTAACCATAGTGCACATAGCCAATAAACAGAGGTAACAGGATGAAATTCCAGGTGTTACTCCTTTTCTCAACTGCTTCCAGCTGTGTGATATGGTTTGTTTATCTTTCTTTGATTTTTTTAAACAGGGTATCAAAAACTATGGTTTATTCTTCCATGGATTTATGGGCCAGTTATAAAGTCTTACTTTTCCAGATTTTCTGCCTGCCTGCTTGCCTGCCACGGAGAATTAAAGTATCAAGAGAGCCACAGAGCTGTGAAAATCACTCCGGCTGCTTTGCTAATTGTCTTCAGGCAGCACCTGCTTGCAACTTGGGTTTAAAGCAGGGAGGCGGAGGCAGAAAGCAGACACAGGGCAGAAAATGAAGAAACTGTTTAAACATATTCTTCTTTAAAGAAATAAATTTTGCTAGGTTCGTTTTTGCAGATGATTTCTTTACTGTCTGAAAACTGCACAGAATGAAATGAACTTAGATATCTTGAATTACATTTCTCACTATCATATAAAAAATGTTAGATCTTGGAGCTGAAGAGACGACTTAGTGGTTAAGAACACTTGCTTCTCTTCCAAAGGATAAAGGTTCGGTTCCCGGCACCCACATGGTAGCTCACAACAGTTTCTAACTACAGTTCCAGGATATCCATCATTACCCCTTTCTGGCCTCCATCAGCACTGCACATGCTTACATACATGCAGGCAAAACATTCTTACACATTTCTCAAAATGTTAGATCCATGGAATTTTGAATTAAGAAAAGCAAAACATATCATTCCTATGAATAGTTTGTTTCTAAGAAGTCATCCAAATGAAAAGGGAGTTTATGCAATCAGTCCTCTCAGTTACTACAGTGTATCTCCATTATATTATCCCAACATACATAAGCTGGTTTCTTTTCTGTTTCTTTGTTTGGTAAGCACAGTATAGCCTTGGGCTCCTGATCCGGCTGCCTCAGCCTCCTCCTGAGTCCCCAAGGTTATAAGCACATACTACCACATCTAACTGTTTTAAACCTTTGTATCAGACTTAGGAAAAATGAGAGAGGAAACTAGGAGTGAGACATTGTCTCAAGCAGTAAAAGCAGACAGCACTGTTTGAACTTACATTCTTTGCCTTGTGCAGATGTGTGACTACCTTATCCCGCTGTGCTTCTGTATAATCTTGCTGTGGAAGAATATTAGTGAACTTAACAAAAACTGACTTTGACTACTCTTTAAGAGTCTTTTTTTTTTTTAATTTATTTATTTATTAAGGATTTCTGCCTCGTCCCCACAACCGCTTCCCATTTCCCTCCCCCTCCCCCGATCAAGTCCCCCTCCCTCATCTGCTCAAAGAGCAATCAGGGTTCCCTGACCTGTGGGAAGCCCAAGGACTGCCCACCTCTATCCAGGTCTTGTAAGGTGAGCATTCAAACTGCCTAGGCTCCCACAAAGCCAGTACGTGCAGTAGGATCAAAAACCCACTGCAATTGTTCTTGAATTCTCAGTATTCCTCATTGTCCGCTATGTTCAGCTAGTCCGGATTTATCCCATGCTTTTTCAGACCTAGGCCAGCTGGCCTTGGTGAGATCCCAATAGAACATCCCCATTGTCTTAGTGTGTGGGTGCACCCCTCGTGGTCCTGAGTTCCTTGCTCGTGCTCCGTCTCCTTCTGCTCCTGATTTGGACCTTGAGATTTCTGTCCGGTGCTCCTGTGTGGGTCTCTGTCTCTGTCTCCTTTCATCGCCTGATGAAGGTTAATATTCCTGAGGATGCCTATGTGTTTGTCTTTGGATTCACCTTATTTAGCTTCTCTAGGAACATGAATTATAGGCTCAATGTCCTTTATTTATGGCTAGAAACCAAATATGAGTGAGTACATCCCATGTTCCTCTTTTTGTGTCTGGCTTACCTCACTCAGTTAAAGGTGTGCGCCACCGCCACCCGGTGTATATATTCCATATTAGAGTATTACTCAGCAGTAAAAAACAAGGACTTCTTTAAGAGTCTATTATTTGAGCCGGGTGGCGGTGGCGCACACCTTTAATCCCAGCACTCGGGAGGCAGAGGCAGGCGGATCTCTGTGAGTTTGAGGCCAGCCTGGTCTACAAGAGGACAGGAACCAAAAGCTATGGAGAAACCCTGTCTCGAAAAATAAAAAAAAAAAAATCTATTAGTTTTAAGTGCGTATATCTTCATATGTTAGAACTTTGTTTTTAAAGCTAAAGAGAGAAACAATTCACTATTCGTCGAAGTGTTAGGAATCAGAAAATAAATAGTGTCTCTCCTAACACCTCTTAGCTGTCAAACAGCATTTTGTAGGCTTCTAAAAGATCTTTTAGACAAGAATGATGAAGTTTAACATTTCACCAGAACCTTGATTTCCAAAGCACAAGGATGAAAATACATCGTAGAAATTTGTCTTCACATGATACTTCAAAGACATTGGCTCAAGTGGTTTGAGATCTTATAGGAACAGAAAGCATGACATGGGAGGCATGTCTTGACCCAACAGCCAATACATATCTGCATTGTTTCACACCATTGAAAGCTTCTTCTGGTTTACCAGAATTCTCTGGATATGGAGATCTTGGCAGGAGAAAATTGTGCATGTTTGTGTGTATGTGTCTGAAGTAGTCTTGTCTACACAAATAATATTCATGAACTTGAGAAAAACAAATAAAGGATATGTTATCAAAATTCCATGATCAGAGATACTGTTGAAGAAGTAAAATTATTTCACTAAAGAATTAGAAGCCATTGGAAGCTTTTTCCTTCACATGCTACAACCCATTCTCCTTACATAGCTGCATATTCATCAGCATTTTTGCATCTACCAGGCTCAGATTTATGTGACCACATGCATGCACATCTAAATGATATATTTAAATAGTAGCTGTATCCTTTGGAACTGAATGATTGTGATGGAAGAAATTAGTGTATGCCCAATACATGACAGCATGCAGTAGGCATTTGCTGACTGAGTCTATGAATGATGGTGTAAATGCATGCATGGTTTTTTTACCCCCTGAGAAGTCCTGCTTTAGAATTAAGGCTTGGAGAAAAGCATTATGGATCAAGGACATGGAGATTTGGTAAAACCCTAATCCCTTCTTCAAGAACCTTGTATGACGGTGTTTCACTTGGGACTCCTGTTCATAGCCACAGTTTAGAAATGCCATCCCCACAAAACTATATGTTTCAACTTTATATTTATAAAACACTAGCTTTTCATAATAATTAAAAGTGCTTAAAATTCAAGTTTCTTTTTTGTCAAAATCATGTTTCCTGTTGTAAATTGTTAAAATTCACTTATGAGAATGTTTCTTTAAATTTCATTATTAAATATCAGCAGTATGATTTTGAAAGATAATCATTTTAACATTTGATAAGAAATATTTCTAAAGTAGTTAAAATGTGTAATCATAGACATGTGGAAAATCAAGCCATTTCAACAAGCTGATCATTCAGGATTTCCTACATGTTTTAAATATAATTGGGTTATTAAAAGGAACCATCATTTTATTCATTTTTTCAGAGATATGCTTTGATTAGGTTAAATATTAAATCTAGAATGACATAATATGCATGAGTCTGTTTGTTGCTTATACTATTAACTACTGCTATATGTAATTAAAAACCAATGTTTCTGCAGAAACTCATTTCAGAAGTAAAAGTGCAAATGGAAAACCACGTACATGGTGTCTATTTTAACATCACTGCCATCTGTCCGGATGGGACCAGGAAGCCAGGTGCAATTGGATGTGGAAATGTGACAAGCAATGATGAAGTATGTGCTGTGTGTTTTTCTTGTTTAAGAAAAATTGTTTGGTGTGCTTTCTCATGAAAAAGATCAATCTACTCTTTAAAAATTGCTACTAACTACAAGAGTCTTGTTTGAACTTTAAAGTAGCCTTCTTGTCTCTTCTCAAAGTTTCTTCTTAATGTAAATGACTATTCTCTCAAATGTCCAAGTTAACATAAGTATGTATTGTGTTAAGTACTTATTAAATATTAGTAGCAATATATTTTGTGGCACAATTGGTCTAATGAGGAAATCACATCCTTTCTAACAAGCAGTATTTGTAGTTATACTAGTGACAAAGTGATTTTAATTTCAAATCTGCTCATTCTCAGAGTATGGGATTGAAAGTTGCCATAGAAAAGAATGGGACAGTTGATAAAAGCGAAGAATTCCAAAACCTTTCACTTTTTGATGGCCTCAAGAATAAGATAAAAGAAATTGGTTAAAAGCAGTCAAATCGGAAGGATGACACCATTTATCCAATAACTAGAAAGGGTGTGGGAAGCCAAGGGAGAACTCCAGTGCCAGCGTTATCAAGAGGCAGGAGCAAATGAGAAGTGCACAGCAGGGCACAGCAGGCAGAGTGTACTCTCGGTGGGGTCCTGGGGTTGGGGTGTCAGCTCTCCAGCATCATTTACTTCTGCTGCATCGGAATGACCTAGGTGAGAAAATTTCAGATTTTTCTTACTTCTCACTCTAAGGTTCTGTAATTTTATTACTTTAATTACATCCTGGTTGGGAAGGAGGACTTTTCAAAGTCCTAAAGATCTAAGATTAAGTCAAAGAGAGCACATTTTCCTCTTCAGTCAGAATATATTTTTCCTCCTGGGAACATTATAAGCTGTGGGTAGTGTGACTGTGCCATAAGCCATTTATCTTTAATTAATTATTCCAAGCTTCTAATTCTGTAGTTTCCTCTATATTTATCACTTGGATATTGTTCAAAAGACATCATATACTAGTTTGAATAATACACATTTGATTTCTGCTAGAGAAAAGCTTTTTGTAGCAATGTAACACTAAGTTAACTGCTGAAAACAAATCCAAGACTCTTGAATTTACAACAGTGATTTGCCTTCTTTCTTCTATGGCCTTTTTGCTTTGAATATATCCTCTTCAACTAAGTTGTAGAAACAGTTTGACTCCCAGGAGCAGTTTATTCTACTAGTCATAATAGCAGTGACCACATCATTTTACACATCTGTGAATCCTTAAAATTCTTAGAGGTAGAGACAACCTGAGTACAAAGCAACACCAACCGCACTGATTTTGATTTGATAAATCCAATGCAAATGCTTGCACAGAAAAGCCGAAGTGTAGGCCTTTTATTTCCTGCTACATAATTTCCAATTGAAAAGCCCAGAATACTTTATTTTAATCTTGGAATTTAATTATTGCAATGAATGTCAGTTCAATACACATACACACATATACACTGTGTGTATAAACTTTCTGATTTGCGAAAGCACCTGAAGAAAATATAGATATTAAATCAATCATGTTATGGAAAAACAAGGAATTAGAGAACAAGGAAGAAAACTGTCAGAAAAATCATCTGTAGTTCTAGGAGAAAAAAACCTCTTAATTCTTGCCAGTACATTGTTAGTTCTGGAATGGCTTCTGCAGGGTGACAACAAAGTGGTTCTGTATTAAGATCTTGAAATTGGAGAAAAAGTCCTAAGCCTCTTTCTCCTGAGTCACATCAGAGACAGTATTGCGTTCTCCTTCATGGACAACCTGTATACGCTAAAGATCAACTCTGGGCCTTTACTTTGGCCTCGAGAAAATAGAATATAAACAGATACTATTGTCCATAAGAATACCTCAGGGTTCTGAGCCAGAAGAGCAGAGACATGTTACTTTGGTTCGCTGGCTCCTAATACCAAATGTTTACTAACCCCAAATTTTCAATTCAGAAAATAAACCATAGTTCCACAGTTCTCTGTGAAACCAGTTATCTAAGGGGCACAGACACTTGAGGACAAGCGGGCATATGGTGATTTACAGGCCATTTAGCAATCGTTGCTTCCTTTAATTCTAATTGATCAGTGAAGTAAAAATGGAATTAAAGGTTCGTTCTGCACCTACATGTGAAAGAGATTAAATGTGTGATTTGTAAATATTGTTTCTCTAAGATATTCATTGTTGATTCAATTATTACTGAATATAGTGTTCTAAAGATGTGAATATATGTGAATTTTTCCTTTGAAATTTAGGTTCTTTTCAATGTAACAGTTGTGATGACAATATGTGATGTCACGGGAGGAAAAAACTATGCAATTATTAAACCTATTGGTTTCAATGAAAGCACTACAGTCCACATACACAAAAGCTGCAACTGCCAGTGTGAGCACTGCAAAGGGTGCGAAGGACAGTGTGCTGAATCTGCCCTGGATCCCAAGTGTCCACAGTGTCATGACAGCAGATGTCACTTTGATGAAGATCAGCTTCCCTCTGAAACTTGCAAGTTGCAGGAGGATCAACCTGTCTGTAGTGGCCGAGGAGTCTGTGTCTGTGGGAAATGTTTATGTGACAAAACCAAGCTTGGAAGAGTGTATGGCAGATACTGTGAAAAGGACGACTTTTCCTGTCCATATCACCATGGAAACGTGTGTGCTGGTGAGTTGATACAAACAGGCAGTTGGAATTAATTACAACTATATTGCCGTATACACGTGTGTATCTTTAAATCTGATGTGATGAAATGTTGTCACTCAACCCTAAATTAAAGTTCAAAACCTCATAGTCTACGAAATTAGTTCAAGGCAAGATCATATTTATATTTTTAGTCTGAGTACAGCAACTATTTTTTAAAATCAAAAGCTTAAAATCAAAAGCTAATTTTTTTTTTTTTTTTTTTTTGGTTTTTCGAGACAGGGTTTCTCTGTGGTTTTGGAGCCTGTCCTGGAACTAGCTCTTGTAGACCAGGCTGGTCTCGAACTCACAAAGATCCTCCTGCCTCTGCCTCCCGAGTGCTGGGATTAAAGGCGTGCGCCACCACGGCCCGGCCAAATTAAATGCGAATTTCATGTATCCCTTGATCTTGGAAAGATTTACGCCAGCAAAGGAAGTTACGGTTGATGGCTGACACATTTCCTAGAAGAATGGGGGGTATTCTTCTCTAAAGGTCTGACTCATTCCGACCAGCAGTACCCCTCCTGCTTGCTCAGAGGGTTTTTATTTCTGTCAGGATGAGGGGAAGTGAGCTACAAAAATATAAATCCATTCACTGGAAAATCCTTAAAGCATCACTGTCTATGATATTGTAAGTCTGCTGCCACTCCCACCTCGCCAGTTGATTTTTGGAGAGGCACCGCCGACAGAGTGAGAGCGAGCAAAGGACGTACTCCTCAGAACGCACTTGATTGTTCAGTGATCCAGAGTTTCCTCTGGACGTACTCTTCAGAACGCACTTGATTGTTCAGTAATCCAAGAGTTTCCTCTGGCCACACACAGACCAGTTTTGGCAGTGAAATGCGATAAGATAAAAATATCAAGATTATTTTTTGACTAATTCAGTTCACTCCACCTACTGGTAAAAGTCCAGAAAAACCTATGCAGCATCTGAAAATTAAAATAAAATATATTTTAAAATAAACCAGCTGTTATTTTAATTCCTTGATTGGTTTTCTGTGAAAAGGTAAGTTTACTTATCATAAAAATCCCTCTTTTGTATGAGCATGTTAGTAAGGAAATATGTGTTAAATTATTGGAAAATAAAAATAAAAAACTATAAAATTTAATTATCTATTCTTGTATAGACAGAAATCTTGTAAAGTACAGAAACACACTATTACAAGCCGTCTTTTTATTCTATCATATACACAAAATGCTCTGTACTCTAGACATTTCTTCAGCTGTGACTAGAACTGTGGATAGGAAGGAGGATAACTTCAGAATAAACCAGCAGTTGTCTATTATATTTTATAGGGAAAAGAAATATTTTACAGCGACGAAGAGAATGAAATTTCTAGCATCAGTCAACAGAACTGTCTCTCTAAGCAATTTCATATACAATGAGAACCTAAGGTTCTGCTGTATAATCTCAAAAATCAATGTATTGACCCTGTCTATATCACTGTGACCACACACCTCACACACACAGAGGCAACTGAAAATCTGCTTTGAATTGCTTGTGTGAGCACAAGCTCCAAGGCTCACATGCATTTTCCCTACCACATTCCCTTGGGGATGAAAACTCATGTTCACAGGTCAGCTGGCTAGGACTTGGCATGCTAGCTATAGCAGGGAATGAGGTAGAGTGGGTGTTCGTTTGCCCAGCCTTCATTTGTTTCACACTTAGCAAATTGAGCTGGTTCAGCAGTAGGCTTTAGGAACAATTAGCCTGTGAGGTATTTAGCAATAAGATAGGGAAAGAGAGAGGAGAAAAGAAGGCAGAGAATAGAGGGAAGAAAGAGAGGAAGGACAAGGAGACAAAAAGGGTAAAAAGGAAGGGTGCTTATAGTAAAGATTTACTATAGATTTATAGTAAAATAGGCTTGAGAAATACTATATAAAACATAAAATATACCACCTTTGGAGACTTCTATTTCACATTAACATATTAAATTTTGGACACTTTCTGTAGTCTAAAATCCATTTAATAATGTGTAGCCAAGATTTTCTCAAAAAGTTAATTGTCTGCCTACATGCTTCCAGACACACACACACACACACACACACCCCTTTTTTCTTTCTCATTATATCACCTAGTAAAAGCTCATAGCACAGATTCAGCCTGTCCTGCTAATCCCCTGCATTCATTCTGAGGATAAAGGAGATGATTTCGGCTTCTCAGAAGACCTATCTTTAACCACACCTGAATCCACAGAAGCAGTAGCATGGATGCCCTGTCATTCTGCAAAGCTTTCCTGGGGCCTAGTATCTGTGACGAGGGGAATCTGGAATCCACTGACCAAATACTTTCTTGCTGATTTTAAGTCAGCTTTTATGGCTTCATTATGTTTATGTGCTTTTAATTTAAAATTTGAAAGCATAATGGCATTTAAGAAGTTAGGCAGCCACCAAGTAGGGGCTTTCTTCATGTATGTTAGCATAATATATTGGTAGAAGAAAATTATCTCCAATAGAACAGCTTCGAAAACAAACACTCCTAAATATTGGCACTGCTTTATCAAAACAAATTGAAACTGGTGCTGTTTCCATTCATAGGACTATTAAATGTTCCCATGGAAATGAAGGCAGCTTACAAAGTTAGTAGGCCTGCTGACCCTGATCCTGCTGTTTCTCTGTTGTAGGGCATGGGGAGTGCGAAGGTGGCAGATGCCAGTGCTTCAGTGGCTGGGAAGGAGATCGGTGCCAGTGTCCATCAGCCTTAGCACAACACTGTGTCAATTCCAAGGGTCAAGTGTGCAGCGGAAGAGGCGCCTGTGTGTGCGGCAGGTGTGTGTGCAGTGACCCCAGGAGCATCGGCCGCCTCTGCGAGCACTGCCCAACCTGCCATCTCTCCTGCAACGAAAACTGGTATGTTCTGTCTCCAGCAGGAGCAAAGCAGCCCTTGCTGAAAGCTGTTTTCATTCTCTGTTCTGCCTTTTTAAATCTTAGTTGCTGGATCCTTCGTTATTCTAAAATAATGATGATGATTTAAAAAACTGTGTGGGACATTCAAAGAATTAGGATACTGAAGTTCCCATCTTTGGCTAGTAAGTTGCTTTGGAAAAATTAGAACAAATTTGCATAAAATATTTTGTTTGGTTTTTTAAAATAGTTTTCTGAAAATAGAGGCTGCCAGCTAGCCTACTAATGGCAATTTAGCTGTGTGGTGTACAATAAGCTGTTAAAACTCTGTGTCTTTGGTTAAAAATTGATGTGGGATTTAGGGTCTGGGTACCCTGGAAATGAATGATCAGTCTCCACTTACAAGATATAAGAAGAATTGAAGTTGCTACGAAGCACTCAGGATGCACAGGTGGAAAGCCCTGTGTTACATGACCGTTTGGTGCGATGAACATATTTTCCAATGACAATCTGAGACCTACTAAAAAAAAAAAAAAAAAAAACCTGTGTAAATGTCACTGTGTCTATGGTTTGCTTGTTTGAGTTTTTAAAACATGTACTTTCCCACATCAGTAATGCAAATAAGAATTTTAGAAATAAGCATAGTAATTTATTTAAATCATTCAGAACTGTAATGTTTTACTATAATGGAGTTTATTCATTTGCTACTGGGTATTTAATGCAGGTCTTACATATGTTGGGCAAGTACTCTACTAAGCAACATATCCTGTCTTTTTTCTTTTTTAATTTTTGAGACAGTGTTTCACCCTGGCTGGTTTCACTCTATAGCTCAAGCAGCCCTAGAACACATAAATCTTCCTGCCTCAGCCTTTCATGTAGCTGGGATTCCTGGACCACCAGGCCTGTCTCCTGGGATAAGTTCCAATTGGACCTAATCCAAATGTGTCTATTAGTTGCTGTTTTGTTGTTGTATTTTTCACAGGAAGTATAAGTGTGTTGCCTTTTTGTAGTAGTAACACTTTAGCCTTCCTGCACAGGAGCTGTATGCAGTGTCTCCACTCTCACAATCTGTCTCAGGCTCTACTTGATCAATGTAAAACCTCCTGTGCTGTCATGGAACAGCATCGCGTGGACCAAGCTTCAGGTGAGTGTGGGGAGGTTCCTGGGGCTGAAGGGTCTGCCAAGCACTACTTCCTTCCTAAAGGAAGGAGCGATGACTTCTTACTATTCCCTTATAAACACTTTGAAAGCAACTTTTACCATTCTGCCTCAGATACGTTTTAAAAAGTGTACTTCTTTGTATACACACTATTTCTTTGATGGTGCTCCATTTTTTTTAATCTCCCATAGATGGAATAGCAGAGTGGCCAGAGTCACCTCTCATCCTCACAGCTCTCTTCCTGTGCCGCCTGCCTTCACCAAGGAGCAGGCGAATTATCCAGACAACCATGCAGAAGCCAAAGCATAGGTGCCCCGTGGAGAATAATTTCTCTAGGAGATCTGGAGCCATGATTTTTCCTTATAACCTACATTTGCTGCTGACCCTGCTGACCCTCCTCATATCTATCAACACTTTATTCTCCTGTTTCAAGTCAAACCCTCTTGGAAGTGATAATCTGCTGTTGTAACATACCTAACTTCCAAAGGTTATGAGGCTGGACATGTAGTCTGTTGGGAGAGCACTTGCCTGGCATGGGTAAAACCCCATGTTCAAGGCCCAGTACCACATAAAACTGGGCATCATGGCACATAACAGAACTTGGAATGTGGAGTCCAGAGGATTATAAGTTCAAGGTCAGCCTCAGATACATAGGGAAATCAAGGCCAGCCTAGGCCACATGATACCTGCCTGTTACCTTAAAAAGAAAAGAAAAAGAAAAATGAAAGAAAAAAAGATAAAACTTCAAGGTGAATGATCTAAATCTGACAAAATAGAATGTGTTAGTTTTAGGCTCAAGACCTTAGCCTAAAGCATAGTAAGTGAAAAACATCAGCTCATTTGTAAAGCTTCCTGAGACAACACCTCATCTATAAAACACAGGGTCAGAACAGCATTTAAAAATTAAATGACAATAAGCCAATGAACATCAAAGAAATATCTCAAGTCAGGGACTGAGAGATGGCTCGGAGGTTAAGAGCATTGGCTGTTCTTTCAGAGGTCTTGAGTTCAATTCCCAGCAACCACATAGTGGTTCACAATCATTGATAGTGAGATCTGATGCCTTCTTCTGGTATGCAAGCATACATGGAGGTAGAATTTTATATACATAATAAAAGTAAAATAAGAGTTACCTCCAGTCAAAGGTGAAGTATAAATGGGGAAGAGTTACTTTCATAAACTGCTTTGAGTGCCCACCCACTGAGACAGTGGGACTGATCTCATGGGAACTCACCAAGGCCAGCTAGACTGGGACTGATGGAGCATGTGATAAAACCGAACTCTGAACGTGGCTGACAAGGAGGGCTGACTGAGAAGCCAAGGACAATGGCACTGGGTTTTGATCCTACTGCAGGTACTTGCTTTGTGGGAATTTAGTCTGTTTGGATCCTCACCTTCCTAGACCTGGATGGAGCGGGGAGGACCTTGGACTTCCTACAGGGCAGAAAACCCTGACTGCTCTTTGGACTGGAGAGGGAGGGGGAGGGGGAATGGGAGGAAGAAGGAGGAAAATGGGAGGAAGTGAAAATTTGTAATAATAATATAAAAATAAAAAAGTAACAATGAGAAAACAATTAAAAAACAGAAAAACAAAAAAAATTGCTTTGAAAAAAGTTTATTTTGGTACCCCCCCCCCAAAAAAAAATCACCAAAGTCCCTTTTGCACAGGTCCAAGGTGTAGATAGAAGTTATACTTGCAGTCAGGTCTTTAGAAACCAACCTTTTGCATCCACTATTTCAAGAAATGAAAAGCCAGTTCTTCAGAGGAACAGCAGAGTAGCAATATCCTGCACATCTGAGTTTCCTATATTTCATTCCTGTCATGCTGATCTTAGCCCACAGTAAATTTGAAAAGAGTCCCATGTGCTGCCAGCTGAGGCTGCAGCAATCTCACCAGAAAGCCTAGTGCCTTCTAATAAAGAAGGGCCCTACATGTCATTAATTATGTAACACTACTCTGACTTAAGGGTTATTATACACAGTATTTCCTTAAATCTCTTTAGAAAAAGGCCCAGCCTGACCTTGGCTATGAAAAGCATAACCAGGGGCAAATGTTGGACCATCCATAACAACATGGGGAAAATGCATGCAGATTTGAACCCTCAGAGGGTCATTTGAGGGCTTCCCTCCCCTTTACAACTATTTTGCAAGGAGAGGAAAAGGGCATTTGTTAGGCACCTCAATTACACTTAATCACACTCAATCACACTTACAGGGTCTCCTCTCAGTCTCGCAACTAAGCTCCCAGCAGGCAAAAAGCCAGGAGTGGGAGGGATCAAGCCATGTGTCCCTCTGAGGATGGGTTCAGCCTATAGAGTAGACTAGGTCAACTAAGGGACATCAGTCTGTCAGGACATAAGCCATGAGGGTCAATAACCTGAAGGGAGCTATAGAAGATCAAATAGCACTACCTTTGTACACATATTTTGTATTCTGTCCCCATGACATTGATAACAAGGAAACATTATGCTGCACTGGCTTCTGTTGTTTCCATTCGGATGCATAGGAGTGGGTGTGTCTTTGACCTCCTCAAGGTCTTTTGTCACTAATTGTAAGCAATGGTCTCTATTAAGTCCACCTAGTTAGAAAAGACCTCTTGTCCCCATTACTGAATCTTTGCCTTGTTCAAGAGGCATACTAAGTAATAACTGGACATTCGGGCCAGAATCAATACTACTTGCATGCTAGCTGCTCTGCTTATGGCCTTGGTACATCCTCTTCCTAGAGGCTTTTTCAGAGGCAACTGCTACCCCATCCCTGAAGCCTGCCGAATGGGTGGAGAAACATATGCTTCAGTCCAGGAAGTGATTTTATGAATCTGGGGCAGTTTGTGAGCTCTGTGGAATACCCATTATTGCGAAACCATGTTCCTCAGAGATGAGAGTAGACTTCGGGTAAGCATAGAGCCTGCAACTTTTCCAAGGACAGTTTGCCAGACCTTGCTAAAACAAAGGTCGAGCATGCTCCCTCTCCTAGTACAGCTTTTCTTTCTTTAGCTAGTGATTATTTGTTCTTGGAGGAACACTTAATGAATTAGTGCAAGCAAACAGACTAGATTAGTTAACTAGCAAAGAGTGAGACACGATATTTGGGTTTTATCCGAGATTTGACACTCCCACTTCTCGGAGTCATGATGTGTAATAGCACTGAAATCTTATACCAGGATTTAGAGGAAGTATTTACTTGCCTATTAGAGACGTCCTGAGTCTAGCTTCTGCAGATGTTTACTTTACTTTCCATCATGCTGAACAACAAAGTTGGAGAAAGCATAAAAAGAGAAACACATGCTAAATGCTTAGGGCTGCTCAATATTTTTTTAATTATGTTTTCCACATAGTGTGGAGCATTACACACCGCTACAGTTCTTTCTGTGACTATAGTAAAGAGACAAAGTCTCTTACATGCAGGTAAGAGATTTGTGCATAGCAAACTACAAATATTTATATATATGTATATATGTGTATGTGTATGTGTGTGTATGTATGTATATATCTTTAACTGTAGATATTCTCCAAGAGGGGTTTACTTTTTTGAGTAGGCACTAATACCAGCCTCCTGGTTTGAAAATACAGATTTGTAAATAAATAGGAATGTAAACATTTATTTGACAGGAAATTTTGGTTTACTTTTCTAAACTTTTTTTTAACCTATCAATTTGTTATCTTTCTTGCAGAATGTTTACCTGGCCCAAGCTACCTGCGAATATTTTTCATCATATTCATAGTCACATTCTTGATTGGGTTGCTTAAGGTCCTCATCATCAGACAGGTGGTTCTGCAATGGAGTAGTAACAGGATAAAGTCTTCCTCAGATTACAGGCTGTCTACTTCCACAAAGGTTGGTGAATTCAGAGAATAGCTGTCAGAGTGTCGCTTCCTCTTCTAACACTCAGCTTCTTCACTAACACTAATATTTCTTCTCCACCAAGGATAAACTGATTCTGCAAAGTGTTTGCACAAGAGCTGTAACCTACCGACGAGAAAAGCCCGAGGAAATAAAAATGGATATCAGCAAACTTGATGCTCATGAGGCTTTCAGGTGCAGCTTCTAAAAAAAGATTTAAAAAGCAGTAACAATCAAAACAATGCTGCTGGAAACTGGATGATTTTTCGCACAACTGCTCCAAAAAAAGTACAATATAAAATGTCACAGGAGGAGACAAATTATTGAAGAGTGTGCTATGAAGACTGGCAAGTGTCTTCCCAACCATGCGGCTCTCCCAGCTGCTGAACTTTTCAGAGAACGATGTGTTTTACTACTGTTGGATACTAGTGTTGTAGCACTTTACTGTAATATATAACTTATTTAGATCAGCATAGAATGTAGGTCATCTGGAAAGCACTGATTACACTTTACAGGTTCCCGCCATTCCTGCACTTCCCAGACACAGTGCTGGGAAACAGGTTGGAATGATGTTGCTACCACGGTGCAGTGATTCTTGTACATAATCTGCTGATGGAAAAGATCCAGGAGTCACTGAAAGCAGTCACTCACAGCACTTGGCATTGCGTAGATGTGCACCGCCAGCTGAATAATGGTCAGTATTTCACTTCAGTTGGAGGTGAACAGAGAAAACTTTAACCCTAAGGTGTTGCTTGTAAAACTGTGGTTTGCTGCATGTGCATTGCTGTTGTCTTCTCTTTTTTACATTTATATTCTGTTTTTTTCTTCCTTCTGGAATAAGTTTATAATGTCATAGATGACTGGATTACATAAGTGCTAAGTTACTACTGCCATAAAAATCTATATGACAATGTCACTTTATTAGAACTGGTTTTTAAAGCTGAATGTTAATAAGGATCACTGTAAAGTGTCTTCTAAGTCCACAGCTTCTTTGTCCGAAGACACAGAATTTTGTATTTTCTTACCTGTCAAACTGGATGTGCTGGTTCACTCTCTCACTGATCTCAGTACCTAAAATCCACAAGGAGTCTACAGAACTGCCTCAAGTGGACGGCCCTCTTTTCTGATTTTCACTCCAGTTGCATATCAATATTTTACAAATGGAAAGCTGTACTGTTTCTGCCCTCCTGTGCCATCTAAGGGCATTCTCTGAGTCATCCCAACCCTACTCATGAGATCCACAACAGCATGAAATTGGAGAAGGGTGGGTGACATTTTGGAAATAAGCTAATCCTGCCCCCTTTTGTTAGTCAAGAAACTGAGGCTCGGAAAATTTAAATGATTTCACAAAAACACAAAGCAATGAAGGGGCAGTGTTAGAGATCTGCCTTGCAATTGCACGTCAGCATTGCACAATAGCACACTACCTCTCGAATCTGCAAAACACCCTGGGTAAGAGTTAAAATTTGATTTATTGGTGTCCTGAGTATATTTCCGTGACACTATTTCTAAGCAAAGTAGAAATAGATTTGTGTAGAAGCAGCTTCTTGTTTTTCTCATTAGCCACCTTCTGATAAGGCTTTGGTGTCCTTCCCTACACACAATGGCTGAAAGAACAAACCTGGACCTGTTCATGGCTCAGTTTAAGCCTTCTTGTAGAGGCTTGGTACTTAAATTCTAACTTCTAACTATCCTATTTGTAATACGTGTTTTACCTGTGACAACAGAAAAATCTAAAGAAATGTCTCTCCCAGATTCGCTGTTTCCCAGCACTTGAAAGTTTTAGATATTTTCATTTTGATGAAGACTAACTTCCATTAGATATTGCACTCTAGGGCCTGGAAAGCCTTCAGCAGACATGACAAGTCCTTTAGAAGTGTAGTGGTGATGCTGCTAACTTGAACTGTCTCTTCTTTCTCCAGGGGGGGATGGGCATCATCAAAACACTGCATACTGTGACTGTGTGTCAGGAAACTGTGGTCACTAAAAGCTGGTGTGAAAAGCATACTATGTTGCTCATGACATACAGTATCCGTTTATAAATATATAAATTACTGGATGCTTTGCAGTCCTCCCCCCCCCCAAAAATGGAAGATATCCACTAATTAAATGCTGACAACTTAAAAGTGAGCGGTGTTTAAAAGTGAACGATGAATGGGCAAAGGAGTATATACATAACGGGAATCCATGAAAAGCAAGGATTTGTACTCTTTTAGCCCTTCACTAGTTTGCACTAATTTTAAGATGGAGCAAGGTTGTTACCACAGGAAACACAAACTTTCTTACCGGGAATTCAGTGCCAGATGATAATATGTACTTAACACATGGGATGTCTTATGGTTTCTCTTTCTCTTCTTTTGTGTTAACTTAAGAGCTAATTCTTAAAGATTGTAGGGCTCATATTTTACTTGAATAATTGATGTTCTTCTGTTTAATAGTTTGTGAAAGGGGAATTAATATTTTATTAAATAGAATTAATTAATAGGGAAGGGGAAATAGTAGTCTTAGATTAAATAATTTATGTACTTAGAGACTATTTTCTGATGCTAAATAACTGCAAGAGTCTTTTGAGAGTTGCTGACAGTGATGCAATTAATTGAATTTTAAATTGTTAGAAAAATTAGTAACTTGAATGATTTTTTTTTTTTTGGCATGGCAGCATTTTGTGCCCTGGTGTGTAATTATTCAGAAATGTTCCATACATCCACTCCATATACAAGTTGTATCTTCTGAAATATTTTTACACTGCAGTATACATTTATTTATAGACATTTGATACAATTTTTAAACATTTTCTACTATTATTTATTAAGCCATAGAATGAATGCTCTAAAAGACGTAAAAATTCGCTGAAAATCCAGTTATGTCCCCAAAGTTCAATTTATTTTAGTTTATAAAAAGAACTAAAAATACATGTCTCTATAGGCAAACCTTTCAAAACTTAAAAAATTAAAATTGTTTATACATTAAATGCAAAACTTTACCAAAGAATAAATTTCAAGTATTTTAATATTTCCTTACTCTCTATTGAATATGTTCTTGTATATATCAACAGACATCCCTGAGACACTGAAATCATTTAATATTGTTAGATTATGAATATTTTTCTCCATAGAATATTTCTTCTGGTACTTGGTTGAATAAATTATACCCAATGGATTTTCCTTACTTTCCTGGCTCCTGTTTGTCCCATTCACACTTCTCTAGAAGTTGGCCATAAGCTTCAAACTATTATGTTCAATTGTAAAAAATAACTGTCTAATAATATGACTAAGTTTTCCATTTCAAAAGATCTATGAATTTAAACACTCATTTGAACAAAGACAGCCCCAATGAAAACAAAGAATTTAAAATTTTCACAACTAGTAATTTACGTTTTTATAAAGGTAGCAACTCACTAGGAATTTCAACCATATGAATACTGTATTCTCTTTGTTTACTCTTAATACTTAGTTTACAGTTATCCTTATGTCCTTAAAAACATCATTTCATTTCATGTGGTGAAAAATCTTCAAAAGAATATAGAACTGATTAATATTCCCTCAAATCCTTCATTTTTCCCAATCCATAATCCCTGCATGGCAAATTAGTTATGATAACTGATTAAACATATCTACTGTGTGTGTTGCTGATTCTAGGACACACACTTTTTCAATTTAGAATCTCCAAAATTGTGATGTCTTTTGAAATTATCATCTGCAATGCAGTGTTTGAAGTTGTGTAGGAATAAACACTACACTACTTCAATTTAATTTAATATTCATGGGTACACAGTTATTCCTTTCCTTATACATGCTTATGAATTCATTTGTGATAACATGTAAAGCCAGTGTTCAATACAACTGAACCACATACCACTCAACACTGACCTAACTGGCTGTCAGCTCATATCCTTGCATCTCCAAGTTACAAAAGCTCTTTTAGGCTCACATTTATGTGTTATGATAATAGCAGTGATCTAGGCAAACCTAAGTTAACTATAAAAATACAGAGGCTTCTCAAGCTTCCTGTAAGGATCTTCAGTCTTTCCACTTTTTTGAAGGAATTGTTTGAAATGATCATCTCACTTTTAAATAAGTTAACTGGAAAAAAGATTATATGAAAATATCGTAGTTAGATTTAATGGCAATTGTATGCTTGATGTCAGCTGCAAGAGAATAAATGATGCAACCAGTGGTCTTGTGGAAAAGATTTCCTCTCAGGTTTCCTAACTTTCTTATTTTTCCTTATCCCTTCCGTTCATTCTCTGCTTTCTTTGCCTCTAATAGCTTGCCTCTCCAACCCATGTGATGACTATTACAAAACTGTATAGTTAAAATATAGTACTTATGAGAAGCAATTGTTCCACTCTCTGGGCAGCTTTTAATCAAATATGTGAGAGTAACAACACTACTCTGTGTCTACCTGAAGTACCCTCCTGAATAAAATGTATCCTTGTATGCTAACACTTTCAACCAGGTGTCTGTTCTTCACAACCAATTTTAGTACAATTGTCAAACACAACGCCATAAAAGAGAAGAACACTGCATCATCAAGGATGGGATCATATGATTTGTGTAAAGAACTTTTACTAACTTTACACTGACAAATGTGATTTTATAGCAAGTCTGCACAATGACAACTATGGTACATAGATTTTTTTTGAAATATTGAATAAAATTATTTTCATTCTAAATTATAAGAAAGTATAAATTTGCACATTAATATAGAAATTCATTTTGTGTATATTTAACATACATTTAAAGCTATTTTACATGTACTAGCTACTTTATTAAGGTTTGTAAATCTCTGCAAAAATGATTAGACATTTTTAAATTATCAATAATGTAATCTTACTTTGTTTCACTTAACAAATACTGCCTTTGTAAAAAGATATTTAATATAGACTGTATTTTTAAATCAAAATATTTGAATATAAAATAATTCAAAGATCAAAGAAAAACAAATTCTTCATGAACACATTTTGTATTGTTTTTGGCTTTGAATTATATGAAAGGTGAAATTGCCTTAATTGATACAGAAGATTGATAAATATGACAATTTCACGTACTATACTATGAATCTCTTCACATAACTGGTTGACTACTAATTTCTCTTTTATGTATTTATTAAAAGCTGACACTGTAGATTGTTGTGAGATGTTTATTTTTCTAACAGAGCTTATAAGAGTTATGACTAGGCATTGAATTGATAAACCAATCTGTTTAAATGTAGGTGTTAATCAACATGAAATTTTAAGTTTTAAAATAAAACTTCAAGGCTCTAATAAAAATATAAAGTATATTGTGCTTCATTTTCCATGTGCTTCACAACCCTCTAACCCTCGGGAAACAACACTGACAGAGGAGAGAATGTGGCAACAGTGACATGCTGTCTCCGACACAGGACATGGAATAATTTTTAAAAGCTACTATTTTTAGGCTATGAAAAAGAGCTGTTATATCCTAAACTTCTCTTGCCCCTTTAGGTGGTGCCTAATTATGGAAACAGAAACTATATCCTAATGACAGAGTATTAAAAACATTAGTCCATTTTAAAACTGATATTCGCTACCTTTAAGAGATTTCAACCATCAGATAAAGAACTATTTTATACAAACATTATTAATATTCAATTGTCCATTTCAGAATGTCACCACTAAGCAATGGATATTTGTTAAAAGGTTTTAGAGGCTTCTTTCATTTAACCTAAAAGAAAGAATAAAATAACATGGTGGAGGATGTCCTAAACACTGAATAAGACAGACTATCTTTAAAAAGCTCTTGATTTGAAGAGGTTGTACATACAATGCACCATTAGATAGAAGACACACTGGAAAGTTCATAGGAAAGTTATTAAAAAGTCGATCTCACAGAACTTCATTTTGAAAACTCACCCCAGTTGATTTTGGACTACACCCAGTCTTTGAGGATCAGAGTTCTTCTACCCTGTTCTAATCATGGAATCTTCTTTCTGAGTTTCCATAAAGTACACTACAATTTCTAGACTCCATTGCAGTGGAAGGAAAGAGGATGCATTCAAATCTGGCTTCACTTTCCCTTTTCCTTTTACCATTGTCTGTGACAACTAGAGAAAATGCGTTAGCATAGGAAACTCTGTTCCGAGACCCGTAGATAGCTTCATCTTCACGGAATAGAGCTCAACTCAAAACTGGTCCCAAGCATGTAAACAGTGTAGTCGCACCATTTGACACAGCAGCAGATAACCTGCATTCTACTAATTCTGACTCATTATATAATTGTCTCAATGAATATTCACCAACATAAATACCCTTTTCCCTAATTGTTCAGAGAAGGTAAATGAGTTACAGAGAGGTTGAGGAACTAACAAAAATGTATTAAACCAATAAATGGCCAGGCATGTGTCCACTTTTCTTTTCACAAATGACCAACTGTTGTGTGAACCCGCTTGTTTGTTCCTGACTGCTCATCCCCAAAATAATCACACAGAAACCATATTATTTGCAATACTGTTGGGCCAATAGCTTAAACATATTTCTGGCTAACTCATATTTTAAATTAACCCATGTCCATTAATCTGTGTATTACCACGAGGCTGTGGCTTACTGGGTGAAGTTCCAGTGTCTGTCTCTGGAGGAGCTACATGGCTTCTCACTGTATTTCTTTCTCCCAGCATTCAGTTTAGTTTTCCCTACCTAGCTCTATTCTACCCTGTCACAGATTATTTATTAACCAATGGTATTCACAGCAAACAGAGCGGAATCCCACATCAACCAAACACATGTATTTTGAGGATAATTAAACCAGTTCAGTTACCAGAGTCTACTGGGTCCCCAAGCCCCAGTTCACAACCCTCTAACCCTCGGGAAACAACACTGACAGAGGAGAGAATGTGGCAACAGTGACATGCTGTCTCCGACACAGGACATGGAATAATGTGTGCAGTGAAGAAATAGAGGAGCTGATACATGTGCACAAATGCTACATGGAAATAAATGGCAACTGAAATGCTCTGTACGTTAAGATGCCTCAAGACTCAGAAATTAGCATTGGCCTCACAGGAAAAGTATGTGTGGCCATGGAAAAAGAGAGCATCAGGGGGGTCCTAGGAAATTTTAAAGCATGACCACAAGGAAGAGGGAGTGATAACTGCATTCAGAGATGGCATAGGATAATGAAAGGCAGTAACCTAAAGAACTTGGAGTCAAGGACAGGCATGCTATCCTATTGGTATTCTAGTGGTATTACTAGAAGAAACATGGTTGGAATATAACTCCATAAACTCTACTTCTAAACATTAATTTTATACTCTCAAATACTAAATGTAAATACTTATTATTCGGTACTATCAAGTATTTAGTGAATTCTTTTTGTTATTAAATTCAAATGGTATTTAATGTTTAAAAAAGCATACAAGATAAAAAAAGAATTCAAATTCTGACCTCTGAGTGGCACTCACTTTCATATATAAGCATATTTATATTTTTGTTTTATTTTCTATGTGATTGATAATTATTATTATGCAAGCATGAAAATAAATTTTCTGAACCAACCACACAGTTGATTATTGCCCTTTTTATTTCAGAAAAATTCACATCTGTAGCTAAAAAACACAGGATAAATACTAAGTGATTATTGTTCTTCCTGGGATTTTGTGTATTAAGAAACACATTTTTCTTCAAAAATATATCAAATATTTTGTGTGTAAAGATTTAAACCTAAATTTGGGGTAGTTTTTGCTGGTGTGTGCACATGTGTGCACACATGCATGTATGAAGACCAGAGGACAACTTCGGATGTTTTACGTGTCATTTACCTTTTGAGACAGGGCCTTGCACTGGCCTGGAACTCACCAAACTCATTGTATCAGCTAGGTAGGCAAGCCTCTGGGATGTTCCTATGTCTACCTCCCCAGTCTGGGGCTTATACAGTGCATGGAACCACATCAACTTTTCCTTAAGTTGCATTTTGGGAGTTGAACTCAGATCCTCATGTTTGCAGGAAAAACACATTACTGGCTGACCTGTATTACTCCCAGTCTAAAATGCTGCTTAAGAGACAAACTGTGTTCTATTCATAAGTTTGCCATAATCATGTTAATCAAGGAAAGAATAAACAGGATAAGATAGCAAATATCAAGCATTGTTAACCTCAGATTTCAGGGGAAAACATTTTCTTTTAAATAGGAAAGACTTGTCCATTTTTAACAAAAATGAAAAGAAACCAGAGAGAAACATTCATATTGGGAAGGTTTGGGTGAATTGAGATATGATCTAATGGTGGCCATTTCAATCTACGTCAAAGTACAGTCCATGAAAAAGAGCACAGAATTTATCCATGAGAAAGTAAAGATCCAAATAAAAGTACAAAGAGAGACTATTGGCTTCTGCCTAGAGAATCTCAAGGCAGCTTGGGAACTGACTTGATCTAAGCGATAAAAGTTATTCCAAGAGAATTCTAATGCCAGGCTCAATAGTTACTTCTGGCATCTGTCCAAACTGGATCAAACTCCCAGACTGGTTTCACAAGCCACATTATTTTTGCCAGGCCTTGACTTGTAGACTAAATTCTCACATTATCAAAATATTTGGCCAGACCAAACTAAAGCAGGAAATTTTAAAACCATGTCAATGATCATTCTTTCAATGATTCATAAAATAAATCTAATTGAAAGAGCAGCAATATGTGTTTTAGCATTAATATTGTGGCCATATTTATGGGCCATTATGCATTGCATGAGAAAAGCAGATGGCACCTGTGTTCTGCTCTGTATCCCCTGCAGCACACTGAAGTTCATGCACTAGGGCCCAGTGCCATTCAGACTTCTGGTCTTAGTCAGACAAGCTCTCAGACCAGACTGGTAAGAGGGAAATTCTTTCTTTACTAGGTTTTTAAAAAAATATTACATGCTATAATATTGTTATGATTATAAAATTCACTGTAAACACCACTAAAATAATGAGAATAACCCACTTAAGAAAAATTCTTAATTTGTCAATATTTTTTGATATTAAATGCATTGTTGTCTATGAGCCCCTGGCTTTCACAGATGAGCGCTTGAGCCAGTAGTAGCCATCAGTAGGAAACCATGCTGACAAGGCAAATTTTGGTATCTAGCTGTCTCAGTCAGTGTTCTATTGCTGTAAAAAGTCTGGCTACTCTTATAAATGAAAACAATTAACTGGGCCTGGCTTACAGTTCATAGGTTTAGTCCATTATAGTCACAGTGGGAACCATAGAGCAGACAAGGTGCTGGAGAGACAAACACAAAGTCCATCTCAGTGGTACACTTCCACTTTAACAAAGCCACACCTACTCCAACAAGGCCATACTTCCTAATTCATCTCAAGTCGAGTCATTCCTTAATGACCAAGCATTCACATATATGAGCTTATGGGTACCATTCTTACTTAAACCACCACACTAGCCCAAATTTTCTGCATTAAAAACTCTAGAAATGGGGCCAAGAAATATGCATTCAGAAGCTCTCTACA